CAAATAATAAAAGTGCAGTCTTTAAAAGTACATCTATATGAAGCTATAAATAAAATTTAAGAAGTAATGCATAATAAAAACTTAAATCTCGAAGTTCTTTTCTTAACCCATTAGCAACTGGCAGCTGTCACCGAACTACTCTCTTTGGGATGGCATACTAATCAGATGCATTGTCTTGTGGGAACAGGCAATGCGTGTTGCTAAGCCTAACTTTAGGAAACAATTCGCACAAATTAAATTTGTTATCCAATTGCTCCAATTTTTGGTACATTATGAAAGAAGCACTCAGGTATTTATCAGAATTAATTTTAAAACCTTATCATCAGCATATTAATAAAAATAAAAATTATTAAAAATTTCTTTCATAAAGATTAGCATGTATAATTTTTGACATACCTCAAACATACACTCTTTTGCAAAAAAAAATCGAAGCACAAAGGACTTTTGCGCTCGTGACGAAATTTGGTATGCAATAACATCTTGATCGAATATGCAAATGATCAAAGTTTCAAGACAAATGAACAGGAATTGTGATCATAGTGTGCAATTAGCAAGGATATAAATCCAGTAACAGAAGAGGAAAATTTACCTTTTTTTGTTGCTGCCATTATAATTCCGTAAAAAAGCAACTAAAAATGCCATTACGACTATATCAAAGACCTAACTAACAACTAAACGACTTTGAACGTGGTCACATTGTAGGGTTTCGTGACGCCGGGTGGTCATAGAGCAATAGGCCGTCCTTGCCACCTGCAGCGTACAGATACTGCCAATGAAATGAAGGCTCTGGAAGGTCAAGGATCACAAATACAAGACAAGATAGGATGATTGTTCGCCAAGCCCAAACTGCCCCAATGGTATCATTGTCAACTATTTATAACGCATTACAGCCATGTCTATAAATCCTGAGGTGCCGTCCACCATCTCACAGCACTTGTCTGAGGTGGGGTTACGCTCACAGAGGCCTTTAAGACGTTTACCTTTGAACCCACAACATCGGCGGAGTCATCTAGAGTGGTGTCGCAGCCGATAATCATGGCTGTCATCAGACTAGCATTCTATAGCGTTCAGCGATGAACCCCGCTTCACTTTTAAAGCGATGACTGCTGTGTTCATGTCTGGAGAGGATGGGGCCAGCGGTCCCAATCAGCCTTACAAGGCATACAACCAATAACCCCTGGTGTGATGGTGTGGGGCGCTATTTCTTATGAAGCAGGTCATCATAGTCATCCTCCATACATCTTCAAAAGCTCAACGATATGTTGATACCATCCTGCGTCCGGTTATATACATATTCAATTTCATCAAAAAACAACCACTTCACGGTGCTTTGATTTTTTTTGCAAAAGAGTATGTAAACAAATAAATATGTCCATATTAGAATCCCTATAACTATCATTTGTCAGTTCTGCAAAAATATCATTACTTGTCATCAGTGTGAGAAAAAGAATCAGTTATCATTTTCATGTATATCTTCTATTAATACACTTTCTGTTTTGCCATTTGGTGTAAAAATACTTTCTTAAATCATACAAAATATCCCTCTTAAGGCTAGGGGGGAATCCAAGAGCAATAAATAAAGCCTCTAAAAAGTTAGACCCCCCAATTTGAAAAAAAAAGCGGCATTACCAATCACCAATAACAGCAGCATTTGTTTATATCAACTGATACAGTTAACCCTTTCAGACCTAATGGGCACATACGTCCCAGAGATTAGATTTCATTGCCCATTGGGTAAATAGAGCCAACTTTCAAATGGGTTTTTACGTTTGCAATATTTTTAAGGAATGAGAAAACAAATATATGACTAAAGAAACTTGACATTTTAAAAATTGCAAATGGTGCACTTATGTTTTACAGTAAATACAACTATATTTAAGGCATGCTTAGTATGAAGTAGTTCTTATCGTTCTTATTAAGTAGTAATTTAACATTTTTAATGTCAGGTTTAAGAAATTTTGAATAGATGCTTTTTGTGGGATATATTGTTCCAATTGTATTGAACAGTGGGTTAATATGTCCAATTAGTGGACATGCTGATATATTATGTTTATGAAACATATGAAAATTTTTGTTGTATATGAACTGGTGCATGTGGCAGAGCTTATGTTTTGTAATAATCACATTATATATTACCATAAATTTTAGTTTTGTTTTTTGAGAAAGGATAATATCCAAGACGATTGGGACAAATAGTCCCAGTTGACAATACGATTGGGAGATATTGTTCCAAGAGATTTCCATGAAATGGGAAAAGTTAAAAACTTTAAACTCGCATTACCCTTCCTTTAGTATGTTAACATTAAATTAAAGGACTTTTCATAGTTTAAATTTTAATCTTGCAAAGGTTAGGTCACAAGGTTTAAAGAAGCCCCCCCTAAAAAATAAAATAAATTAAAAATTTAAAAAAAAAATTACAGAGGAATGAAGGTCAACATGCTTCACTTTTGATAAATTTCACCATTACAAATATGCAGCCAAATCTAGTAGCAACAAAAACATTAATTAAATGTTCTATCTGAAAAGACGTATGTGGTAAGCCACACAGTGAATTAAGCACTGACAAACCGGGCCATGAAATAACATTAACTGGTGAAACAATTCGAATTTATATTTTTCCAGGACCTTTAATTAAAGCAAGTACAGGAGCAGAAATTTCCTTCAAGAACTAACATTTTAATAAACATTAACATGGCATGCTAAATTGTCTCCAGAAAATTAAGAGATGATAATGGTAAGCAAGATCTACTGAAATTACAACATTCTTTTTTTTAAATGATTTCAGTTTTTTTAAAGTGTTTATTACAGTACATTATTTATTACAGTACATTACTAACACTAGTGGGTTAGGTTTGAAAAGATTCCAATAATGGAAGAAACACGAAGATGAGTTTCACTGTCTGTGATTCCAAGTATATATTATTGTAATGTACTTCAGCTGATTAAAACTTTTAAAAACTAATTATGCTCAGAACCAAAACTAAATAGTTTTTAAACTGCCTTATAAATCTATCATTTACATTGTAGTACAGGATTCTCAACCCTGAAGGGAAGGCGAGAAATTTTATGGCTTTAGGGTGTTGGTCAACTTTTTATTCAGCTAATTAGCATTTAGTTTTAGTTCATAAATTTAAAAAAAAAAAAAAAAAGAAAGAAAGAAAAAGAAAAAAACACTATTCTTTTTTGAATTTATCAAAATTTTCTACACTTTGTTATTTAATTTATAAAAATGCATTCACAATTAATCTAAATAGATGTATATGCATTTTTCGAGTCTGCGAAAGGAAGGGGAATAATCTTTTGGCAATGGTGAAAGGGATACATGGAGCAAAAAAGGTTTGAAAACCACTGTTGTAGCACTTTTATAATTATTTTTTATAATTTTCAGTACACATTTCATATCACTGCAATTAAAACTTTTAATGCAATACTTTATGTATCTTTACTGTTGTGTTAGGACTAAAATCTTAACACCGTGATTTCAAAAATACACCTTAAGATAAATTATTTCATGAAAATATCATGTTCATCATATATTATCTTTAGGTATTTACACTATAAACTTCATACACATAGTTTAGCTTAGGTTATTTTAAAACAGCAATGCACATGAGGATCTATTCTATAGGAAATCTGTCTAAGGAAAGGAAGCCTTTGGTTAGCACTCTCTAAAAGAAACTGACTCACATTACAGGTTATTACAGATGGGGAAAACCATGAAAATATCCATACAATCAACCTGTTCCCTAGGGTCTGAACCTGAGTCAAACTATCAGTATTCAGCAGCCTTAACCACTTAGCTACATCATACGTATAACCTATATATTTTACGTGCAGATGCATAATAGAGATCTTATATAAGCATACATTTGCACTATACTGAAAAATGCTAGACACATTAAACAATCACATTTGAGGAACAAGAATCAATCTGTTATATATATGTCAGGGATTTAATCTCAAATATAAACTCTTATGATAAATGAAAAACCAGACATAGCTAACTAATAAATAACAAATGAAGATCAAGCTTAGATTATATTTGAATATGGCAAAACACACAAACACCATCTGACTACAGGGAGGTACGCCTTCGTGGATGAGTTTCTAAGCAAAAATGGCTCATGTTCACATAGATAAAGACCAAATATAATGAATGTAAATGGAAAAGATCCTTTTAACTAGCAGAAAAATATAAAATTATGTCAGATCACTTCCCATTTATGCAAATAGCAACTACTAATACTGATAAGTTTAACCAATTATCAGGAAAATAAACTAATTACAAAATATTTAGAAATAATCAAAATTTTACAGTTTATGAAAACAGGCTTGCCCCATTCATATTATGTACTAGCGACCTAAAATAGTTATAAATAAAAAAAGTATAATTTAGCTAATGTAATTTCTCAGGTCATTGTAGTTAGAAAGGAAAAATTAAATATTTTACATTTTGCCAAATAATTATGCCAAATTTTATGTTTTGCCATACTGACTCTTAGAAAATAAAAATATTTTATTTCATGCAATAGCCACACATTTCTTTTAAACAGAGAACTTTGTTGATTAAATAAAAAGAACCTTACACTTTGCTGAATGAACAAATTTCTTTTAAATTGCTCAGTTTTCAGAATAATTTACAAAATACATATCTTATGCTTTGCAAGGTGGCAACAAATCGCTTATAAAATGCTGAGTTTTTTAATCAAAAACTCCTAATTTCATACACAATAGGAAATTTAAAAAAATCATAATTCATGTGGAGGACTATGTGTATTCAAAATCTGGTGGCTCTAGTAGTCATCATTTTACCACAATACAAGGAAAATACATTCAGATTCTTCCCTATTAACAACTGAGATTACACAAAAGCAACAGATTTGAATCTTCATAATGAATTAATAAAATAATTTTACATATGCTAGTAATTATACATGTATTTTTAAAAATATCTTAAAAAATCAAATTGGCTTCATCTGCAGTAAAGGGTTAGAAATTACCTCATCAAGTAGTGAACTTTCTTTTGTTGGTGACAAAGGAAAACTCAGTGAATCATCCTCTAAGCCAGGTTCATTCAAAGGCTAAACAAATAAGGAACCAAACAAATATTAATATAACTCTTTATTTATATAAAAATATTACAGATCACATGAATTTCAATCACCAAGTAACCATGTGTCTACATTTTTCAACTAAGTTTTTGAAAAATAAACTCGTTCACTAGTAAACTTTTCACAGAATTTTTAATTCTGAAATTTTTTTAGGTCTCTATAAAAAAACAGCCTCACAGGAAAACCAGGAGATGCTCATCAAGTTCTACTACAAGGACAATAAGAACAAAACCATGCCTCTAGCATTATCACTAAAACTTTGCGCTTAATTTACATCAAGTGACCAGAGTTGCCAGAAATGTTTTAGTTAAAGTAGCACGCAAAGGCTAAAAAAGTAATGATTCCATGTATACATGAGCTCCCATGACCTCTGATGTCCTAATAAAACAGCAAACACAACCAACTGAAAGAAATTTCAAATTTGAATAAATTAAATAATTAAGCAATTTTTACACTATGTGAGATTAAAATTTAAATTAAAATGTAGAAATAGAGGAATTTTCTTCAATTGGTTTTCGTCCTCTTAGTAAGTTTTTACTTTTTTGTTGGTTTATTTTTCCTTTCAATTTTAAATTCACTGAAAAAGTCAAATTTTATTCTTGAGTTTGATATATCCTCCTCTTGATGACATTTAACTGAGTTTAAATTAAGATTTAATTGAGTTCCTCTTCTTTATTTTTCACATTTTGGTATATATTTTCAGGTTTTTATAATTTTTAGGTTCTAATTTCACGTTTCTCTAATTCTTATTTTGCATATTTATAGGATAGTTTGAAATTTATTGATACTGAATTTGACTTTTTTGGGTCTTTGTGTAAAATATAAGGTTCTAAATTTCTTACTTTTTTCTCCCTCTCTCTCTCTATATATACACAAACACACACATATATATTTTAATATTAACCAAAGCAATCAGTCAAACATGTGGAAACACCAGCAACTAGTGTTGAAAACTGAGTGCACATTTACTACTATTGCAGTATAGCTAGTCATGAACTGTTATGAAGCCTAAATTATTACATATTTAATAAATTAATTTTGACAGGCATATATTATTTTAATATGTACATATTTTACAATACATTTACACATTTTTTTAAAAGCACATGAAAATGGAGCAGCAAAAAATTCACAAAATTGCACAGCCATAAATTTTAGTAGGGCAGGTTAGTCCAAAGTAGAAAATTTGCAGAAAATCACATTATCTGGCAATACTGCTTGTGGCCAACTTATATATACATAAGGACCAAATCAAGACACATTTTAATGCTATGTGCTGCACAGTAAAAAAGTACTCCCTAAAATAACCAGCTACAGGTCTAAACTATTTTGGCCTTCAGTGGAAGCAACTGTCCACAGATGCTGGTTACAAAAATTTTTCTATTTTACAGCAATAGTATTTAGAATTACAACTAAACATTATTTCAAAGAGTAGTTATATTTATTAAAAATAATCTTTGTAAACAAATTTTGCAAATACAACAATAGAAAGATTAAATATACATACAAAACAAATTCAGTAAAATTCATAGGCATGCCTTTAAAACAGTTCATCAGAGCTGATCATCAGTGATAAAAAATTTGTATATTCACCATTCACCATCAGGGGGAGGGGGAAAAGGGACGAACTACTAATATGTACCAGGAAGTATATGATTAGCAATATAACAATAATATACATTGTTAACAATACAGTCTGCTAAAAAACAAGCCTCCATTTGGCCACTAATAACACACAATTTACATGAATGAGCAACCCTGTTGATAGCACACTCAATGCATATCTCAGACCCATGCCGCCAACTCAACAGTTCTTTTTTTTTTTTTTTTTCACACACACCATCACAAAATTTTGATATCTAAAAGATTCTCTGTGAAGAAGATGCCAGAATAGCTGATCAATCATATAAAAACATGCCTGATGTGCTTTGTAGATGTGTTTCAAGCATTGCAGATTTTGTTAAATGTCAAATTAAAATATTAAAAGCAATGAATAATAAAATTTATAATGCTTGATAGAAATACAGCCACAAATGTTTCAGTACATTGTTCCATGTGCATTTTATTCATATGATAATTTAACTTACCAGTATATCGCCAGCATCCAAACCATTGCCAGAGCTTTTACTAGAATCAACAGCAGGTGGACGCACAACAGTAGGATTCAACAGATCAAATTTAGTTGTATCAGCACCTGGTTCTTCCATTTCCTAAAGGAGCGAGGATAGGGTTACTAAAACATTTCATCTCACTTAGATAAGCATTTCAAATAATTCTTAGATAATAACTAATGGAAACTATAAAATTTTATTTTTAGAATTACTCACTTTTGCCACAAAAATAAATCTTATCTGGGAAGACAATACAGTCAAGCCCTACTAAAATGAATGAATTTTGATCCCATCCAGTTTCCTGTACACTTAATGTTATTTTATACTGTTATAGTGAACTTTCAGGTATATGGAAACTGGATTATGACAAACTTCATGAATATCTTCGATTGAAATTTTTTTGTATTTTTTATATTTGCCCCAAAATTTCTGCAAGTTTTAACGAAAAAATGATAGCCCATTAAAATCCTCCATATTCAGAACGTTAAGACTCCACAGTCTTCTTTATCTCTAACTTCACCTTTCTATGTGTTCTAAAAATGGCTATGTGAAAGAGGTGCGACACTCAACTCTATGAGAATATAATATGTGTATCTTAGGATACTGTCATGAACATTGAATTGAAAAACGTCAATGGATTCTCAGATTCCGTTCAAATTTTTTGACCGAGTTGTCAGAGAATTCTGTTAAGGACTGATGCTATGATGGACAATTTTGAAACTTTTGTTATTCAGGGAAAGCGGTGAATCTTATTAGCTTGCAGTTTAATAATTGCTTCTTTTTCTAGGAAATGAATACATTTTTTTTCATCCTTATCAGTTTGTTTTGATTTGAGTATAAAAGCTCCCAAAATTCTATCATTCCGATTTTGTGTCAAAATACAATGAGTCAATTAGAACAATGTTATATAGAAATCTAATACGTATCCTAAATAGCGCTTTCGAGACATGGAAAACGCAATTTGAAATTCATCAATGGGCCCAGTTGAATGGAAGAAATGGAACTGTTCCTCCCCCTTTTTTAAACGCACTGTACTTTAAGGTTCCAATAAGCCACTAAAGTTCTAGAGGTGTTAAGTTGTTTTGTATTATTTTAAGTCTCTCTAATTATTATTTCAAGTCTCACTAAGAATACGTTGCACACGAATTTTTACATTTTTGTGTTTTATCATGTGACCACGGTAAGAATTAATGAAAACCAATAACTTGCTTTAATATGCAGAAATAATTTTTAAGGGTAAGTAGTTAGTTATAGATAATAGAATTAGGTAATTAGATAGCCTCATTCATTATGGATTTACATGGCCACTATTATTTTTTTTAACAATATTTGTTAAAAAAGCCCTATTAAATTCACAATCTAATAAAATTTCACAGTTTAAAATAAATGTAATTATGACATTTCTCTTAAACGATATTAGGATAATTATGTTTTGAAGCAACACACAACAAAGTATTTATGTGTCTTTTTAATTTGAAGCCTTCCCAGACATTTTGGCTAATTTATATCAATTTTCTTCTCTTTTAGTAACTTTTCTAACAATTAGGAAATGTGTCTCAATATGCAAAAACCAGTGTTCTCACTAGTTTCTGTGTGCTTTATCTCTTAACTTGTCAACCTCTCCACAATATACCTATGAGGGTTTGCCTGATCTGGTAAAAGTAAAATAATATACCCCCCACACACACAAATGTGAAACAAATTATCGCTATGTCTCAAAGTAACTACAAAGTCAAACAAAGATTTAAATAATCTTCTTATTTAAAAAGAACTTAGAACATAAAGGCATGTTCTTATGCTAAGAAAATCAATTACAGCTCGTGGTGATGTAATTAAACAAGAGTCAAATTCAAACTAAAAACACAGACTAGTGGTCAGAGACTATACAATTTAATTTTAATTTAAGCTGCCATAGTAATTCTATTGTCATAACAAATTCAAATGTCGGCAGCGATAATGCAAAGATGAATAATTACAAATCATCAGAGTTGGCAGGAACTAATGCAGCGAGCAAGTGGAAGTCAGAAACACACCCTATCTTACACTTCAAAAACCTCAGTTTTAAAACTGTTTAAGTGATTTGCATTCTGGTGAGGAAATCAAAGTAGGAAATTATAGCAAAGGCTGAAATTATAAACAACTGGGCAATTTACATAATAATAACTGTACATATCTATATAAAGAATAATTTTCTTTCTCTTTATGTATTCAGTTTCTTTTTACAACATGTTTTCTTTTCATTTTAGATATTTTGGACTTAAAGATTTCTTTTATTCTAAAAATAGAAAATGCATTTAGAACATATTGAAAAAGCTGTAAATTTTGTTTCTTTAGTAATATGAACATTCAGAAGAAATATTAAATATATATGGTAAACTGGTTACAGAGCTGGTGTGGCAGAATTTTTAGAATTTAGTAACACACCGAGCAACAAAATAACATTCTATTTTATCTTTTGCAACATTCCAGGATTATCTTCTCCAGGATTTAACAGATATTTTGTTTTTACACACAATTAATTTTTTGTTTGTTGCCTTGCTTGCTTTATTAAACAGTTTAGATGTATGCTGGTTTCTCAAAGTTAAGCAACATACTGAAAAATTCCACTAAACGCTTAAAAGTAATTCAAAATTCTTGAAATCTGGACATGTTTTAAACAAAAACAAGCTGCACTGTGCAGTATTATGTTAAACAGTGGCACTGCTACCTCTCTATGTAAATACGATGTAGCTTAAATCAGCTGTTTAGGAAAGAATCAATATTCAATGAAAGATGGTATGTTACAAAATACAAAATTAAGGTCAAGATGACATTTGTTAGCAGAATTGCATTATACAGTGACTGACCACTTAGAATTAGGTAAATGACAGTGCACGATTTGCATGTTTAAGATTTGTATGTTTTATAAGTCTAATTTATAAGATAGCTAAATGTCAATTGTCCATGGTAAGCCTACTGCAGAACCAATATCTAACTAATGATTCAACTTCTCGAAGACCTATTAAAGGTAGTCCCAGAGTTACCATTTCTGCAGCTTAATGCATGTTGCAAAAGGAATGCAACTCCATCTCTACTACTGAGATTAAACTACTGACAAACAATCTACATCATCCAACTACTGAGAAAATTTTTTGTATTTAATTTGTATATCTGAATTTAGAAGATTTTATGTTTCTGCTAATATCACAAAATCTAAATTCTCTGTGTAACATTTTGAGTTTTAAGGTTACAAGTGATATAAAAATATTATCATTCATTCAAATTGTTTGCATACATTTTGAGTTATCAATTTTTCATCTGTTCCTTAACTTTTGGAAACTAGTGTAATATTGGATTCTGAAGAATTTATTTTGACATTGCAAATTAATTAGCTAGTGCTTAAAGATTTCACCTTTGTCGTTATGCAACTGTACCTTTCTGTACAACATTTATTCTTTTATTAATCCATAACAGTAACTTATTTTATGTCTGGTTACCACTAAAAAAACATGTAATTTAAAGGAGATGCCAGCTACTTAAAAGTGAACAAAACTACATACCCATTTCGTAGCCAAAAACATCTTCAAATCCAAAGGATCACCCCGCAGTTCATTTTCTATCACTGTGAGAGAATGGCAAGAGGCCATAGCAACTTTTAAGGCATCATAGTTAGACAATGCACTAGCATCATGTTCTAGATTCTTAAATCTAAAAGCAAAAAAGAAATTTATTTTCTCAAGAAAAGGTCAATATTATGTACTACAAAAACAATTTTAATACCGAAATGTGCTAACTTAGACATAACAACCTTTAACTGCTTGCCTGATTATCTCGGGTTCATATATATTGCAGTTAATTATTATCCAGTGAAAACTCCGGCGAAGCAGAATTTGTTAGTACGATTTGTTTTACCACGGTTTCACTCGGCCTGGAGGAAGTGAAAGGAAATATACAGCTTTAATTGGTAGTTTGCCAAATTTTGTAGGTTACGCAGCTCTTTGGAGGGACTGGTCACGTGTTTCCCTATTGTATAGTATACGTCGACTTGTGGATTAGGAATGTATAAAGAAGGATACATGAGTTGAAAAAAATAAAATAATGGCGATGATGGAAGATAGCGAAAGCGATGATTTTTCAAATAGTGATTATGAGGAGGTGGGGAAAATTAAAAAAAAAAAAAAAAAAATTCAACGAGACAGCGTACTCTGTGCTCCCGTGAAAGAGATTCCAATGTAAGCCAGTAAGAAAAGAGACCAGATACCAGTGTAGAATGTCAGGTATCAGTTTGTGCTGTCCCTTGTTTCAAAAACTATCACACAAAGACTAATATTTACTTTTTTGAAGGTGTAAAAACTAAATGCTTTTACACCTTCAAAAAAATTAAAAATTCAACTTCAAACCTACATATTTTGATTTGCTTCATTTCGTTGTATTTAATAATAAAACAAAAATTGTGATGATTTTTTGAAATATTTTTGAAAAAAAATTTAATTTTTATACCGTGGTTAACAACAATTGGCTATAGTTCTAGTAGTCACATGCATATGTGATCCTAAATCCTTCTAAATCCTATATAAAGACTATAGGGCCGTTCTCACTGGGGTTTATCTGAGCTAATAAAGTCAGTTCTATATGTCCACTAGCTCCGTTATGCCTGCAGATAACTTTTAACTTGCTGCCCTATGGGAAAAAACTGGTTTTGGAGATGGTTCGGCTACGTCAGTTTTCTCCATTAGCTCAGATAAACCAGCCCTTTATAGTTGGATATAAAATTTCTCTGTAAATATCAATCCTTTCAATAAAATGCAAAGCTCTTAAATATGAAAATTATCTTAAAAAAAGAAAGGAGAGAGGATAATGATTAACTTAATATTAACATCTCTAAATAAAGCCCTGTTGAAAAAAAAATTGTGGCCTTCAGTTTCAATTTTTCAAATTTATTAAAGTTAGGATACATAAAACTCTTGATATGAAAAACACTATGACAATGCAATTCATATTTTTAAACAGTAACACTAATCAATGCAGACATTATCCACTTATCCTGACATTTTACAATATTTATGTGAAAATTTAGAATTGATCAAAAATAAAACATAGCAATAAAAATTAATGGGAACTTACTTTCCTTCAACAGATGGAATAATACCCCATAAATCCAAACCTTCTTCTGTCAATGTCCCAGTCTAAAAAAGATCACAAATATTTTTATATATTTAGTAAAGAATTATCTAAAATAATTTGACAGACAGAATATGTAAAGCTTGTCTTCTTGACATTTAGGAAGGACACTACTATTTTTTATTTTTTATTATATTTTTTTATTTTTTATTTATTTATTTTTTTAATTTAATGTTCTTTGTCTGTTAAAGACTATGTTGTTACCATTCCACAAACCCTACTTATTATCTTTTTATTATAAAATTAATTTGAAATAATTTATTAGCATGACAAAATAAATCATTAAAAAGCAATTTCATCTGTATTTCTTAATTACATTTGGAAAATATGTCTTCTGTACTATTAATACCACAAGTAAAATAGGTTTTCAAAACTATACAATATGTCAGCTATACAATTTCTAACTTTACTTACTTTCAAAAATTATTTTTATGAAATTTTGTAGTGACATGTAAAATTCAATCTTCTTTCTTCTTCTTTTTTTTTTTTTTTTTTTTTTTGTTTGTTTCAATCAATTATTCTTTTTTTAATGGAAATATTAACCAGTATTCAATTTATATCATTTTAGATTCAAATGAATCATTGTAACAGATGTTGCAGTTATCAAAATTTAAATTCCTTGAATTTTGTTTAACAGTATAAAAATTCAGTTTTATAAATTGTTTGGATAAGTATACGAAAAATATTTTAAATATATATTTAATAAAAACACATTTACTCTCATTTCTCAAAAATTCCAACTATGTTATTTCTATCTCTTATATACAAATTACATTGTCTGTTTAAAAAATATAATGGTACCTCTAGATGCAAGATTTTTGGGAAACAAGCCAATATCTGAGCACATTGTACCAGGGTACAAATAAAAATGGGAATACACGCGAGAGATTTAATGCATCATTACTAATTCACACTGCAAACAAAGCAAAGAGCAAGTTCACTCATTTAGTTCACATGGTTACCCTGTACTAGATGGAACTCTATAAAGTGCTTTCTCACATTCTTCATGAGTTTCTACAATTATTTTGCCACTACTATTAAGAAAGTTTTATAATTAATATAACATATGACTGTAATGGAAATTTTCTACCAAAAACATTCTTAATAAAGTTAGAAAAAAAAAACATGAAAGCAGTACCTTTAAGTGCGGGTAGTAATCATCACCCAAATATGATTTTCTGCCAATGTTCTGCTAAATGTTTTAAAGGCTTCAGCCCAGAAACTGTGAGTTGGCTGTGAGTCCAAAAACATATCAACCTCATTTCAGACGTCCTGTGCAGAATGGAAGACAGCACCAGCAAGATGTATCTGCAGGTGCGAAAAAAGGTACAAGTCCAAAGGAGCCGTGTCGGGGCTATATGGTGGGTGTGGCGAAAGATCCCATTCAAGTCCATACAGAGTCCAGCTGGTGAATTATCTTGATGAAACATTACCTTTTTGCGCCAGAACTCAGTTCAATGTTTGTCCTTGATAGCAGCATCAATACAGACTAGCAGCTTGCCGTATGCCTTACTGTTTATGGTTTTTAGCTTTTTCCAAATACGCTTTGTGAATAATACCATAGCAATCCCACCAGATACAAACTAGTCAAACTGTGCTTTGGGACGCTGCTGACGAGCTCACCGGCACAGACCAACCCAATTTGTCACTGGTGTGATTGAAATATATCCACTTTTTTATCACAAGCGACAATCCAGTCCAGAAAGTTGTCCTTGCGTTGATATTCGAGCACATTAGTGCAGGACCAAACACATCTGTCCTTAACTGCTCGAGTCAGCTCATGCGGCACCCAGTGATTGAACTTATATGTCAAGTTTATGTGACACATAACACGACTAATTGACATGGTGCTAACATCTAACTCCTTAGCAGCTCTCAAGTAGTTGCATACTGATCTTCTTCCACAAGTTCTTGCAGGCAGGCCTCATCAAAATTAATAGGCCGGCCAGAGCAATTTGCCTCGAATGTCATAGTCCTTGTTTTTGAACTTTTGTTACCAAACCCTTCACAGTGTCATATGCTACAACATTAGTACATTAAGCTGTACACATGATTTGGTGACATCCTGCAGCCGACTTTTTGTAACAGAACTGGAAGTAAATGTTGGTTGTAATCTGGTAGCGTGAAGCTCCATTTCAGAACACCTTGTACTTAATGATAACAATATTTTTTTTTACAAATTCCCAAGAATTAAAGCATAAAATTACTGATAAGCATGAGCAAGGTCTGTATACAGTTGACTTGGCCAAGCATTATGATTTTAACACTTCTATGACATACATGACATTAAAGCAGCAAGAAGCAATACAGGCTACCTTGACAGCCAAGGATTTTCAACAATACTGAAACAGGGGACATCTGTAAATGAAAAAAATGGAGAAGCAGCCTAAAAGAGGAACAGCTCAAAACCACTGTGACCAAGGTGATCATCTGCAAGAAGGCACATGCTACAAATGCCAATTTGATGGAGATTGACTCCAGGCCATCTAAATTCATCCATTCATAGAGAGAGAGATTGGGCCATCTAAATTCATCCTTTTTTTTTTTTTTTTTAACAAAATTTAATGGTTTGGAAACGAATTAAGAAGTGCCATACTGCAAACACAAATAATCTTGAAAAACTGCTTGGCAGATCCAAATGCAAATAAATTTGTTCAATAATACTCTTTAATTGCCAAAAAATGATCACTTACAGTGGCTCCCAAAAAAGTTCGTACATTTATGATTTTCATTGAATTAGGGCTCTGAATTAGTTAGATCCATTAGAAGTAAACTTTCTGAATGAGATTTTAATAATAAGATTTATAATCTATTCGTAACAAAATTACATGAAATATTTTAAAAATAAAACGAAGTTTTTTTTTTTTTTTTTTAAGAAACAGGGTTGCCACTCAAACAGGAGAATGAAATTCCCTGATTTTTCCAGGTATGTTTCGAGAAAATTCCAGTCTATCCGCGTAATGTACGCTGGCTGTGCTAAGAGGTATATTAATTATGGTATTACATGTATTGTGTAGCAAATTCACTTAATTATTCAATAAATCTCAGAGGACATTTATTCTTAATTATTCTTGGTAGACTTTGTTTACTTTTCCCACTTAAGAAACTTAATAAAATTTAAGATATATACATTGGATAACAATTGTACGTTTTATTTAATTATTAGTCATGATCATCACCAGTTCAACACGAGGCTAATCCGGTTCTTATAAATCACAACGCAATGCTAAATAGTTTGGTTAGATTTTAGGTAAATTTAATTTGTGTGAGGTGTCTTCTTAAAAAGGCACCTTAACACTTGAAAACACAAATATAATTATAATAGGAGTTGTTTTCTCCACTGAAGATTGAGATTAGAATCTGCCCAATCTGGAATAAAATAAGGCTTTTTTTGCAGACATTCAATGAACGGAAGAAAGAAACGAAAGAAAGAAATCTATTTAATGATATTTTTTTAAATTGAGGTATTTTATATTTATTTCGCAGCATACATAAGAAAAAAATATGTGCATTAAATTTCGTGATGGTATGTCATCATACTGCTATAATTAATTTCAGGATTATGCCAGAGAAAATTTCCTGAAATTTGGAAATATTATTTACTAATAATAAATAAATTTAGAGGGAAGAAGCAACATTAAATTATATGAATAACCTAAAGATAATTACTTAAAAATTGAATTAGAAGAATCAACGATATTTAAGCGATACGATTTTCAACGATATAGTTATATTACATGGTTAGCCTAGATGACTGATTACTATTTTTTTATTTTACTGCAAAATGACAAGTTATTTATTAAAAAGAAAAGGAAAAAAAAAAAGGTTTAAAAAGATTTTGTGATAAAATCCTAGTATACGGTATGGCCTTCGCACAATTTTGAAAATTGTCGCCAAGTACAAAATGACCCGTTTACTGCTCATCATCATGTCGCCAAATCCCGCTGTACCATACATGGAGATTATTCTAACCAAAGAACGTCTATGTAAAGAAGAAAAGTTTCTATACACGTAAATGCTATTATGCCGCTAGAAAGCGGAGTGAAAATTTGCCAAGGGATTTGGCGACGGAACCTGGCGGCCAGAATTTCCCTCTCCGCGATGTGTACAGGAAATTGAGAAACACGTATTAAGAAGAAACGTTCTTTAACAAAAAGAAAACTACGAAAATCTGTTTTTAAATTATTGCGAAAAATCCAAAAAGAAACGTTTTATAAAAGAACGTTTTTTCTTAGTTCCCCCCTCAAAATAACTAATCCATGAATTAATTTACTTGCGCCAAAAAATATTTTATTTTCCTTTAGAGTTTAAAGAAATTTCAAACGATATTCTCTTTATGAACTCTTGATAGCGTGACCTTCGAACTTTGGCATCGGTTTCGAGCTTTGGTGACGGATATATCGCGCATGCACAGCTGTTTCCCTCTATGATGGAACGGAACCACCTCTGTTGCAGAGAGGTTTTCCTTCTTTACAATACATATTCTTTCATTCTAACCTCCATGGTACCGTATTTATGGTACCGCATGGTACCGTAGATTTAACCTATTTTCGTTTTATACGAGAACATGTAATACTATCTTTAGTTCATGCACTGCACATGCGTTTCTCTCGATTCTTGAGGTTGCTGGAAACCAAAAGTTGTGCGGAAACTTGCTTTGCCATTCTAAAAGACAATCAAATTGGAGCTGCGTAAAATTGGCTCTATGCCAGCTGCCCGAATGAGGACACTCACGTCATACACAATTCGTCAAAAAAGAGATCTCTTCTGACGTCGGCGCAAAACTCGCCTTTTTTGGCGGGATCGTTGTATGAAATTCCCTGACTTTTCCCTGAATTTTTTGGTCAATTTCCGAATTCCTTGACTTTTTCCGGTTTTCTAGGTAGCATGGCAACCCTGAAGAAATTAATAATAAAAAAATGATAAACATTCTATCTCACAAAAGTCTTCGCACACCGATATACTTTTGGTTAAAATCAAAATTAGAATTATCGTTTGCCGCTCTTTTTTTAATTTTTGCATTGTGGTGGCATTTAAAAAAATCGTTTGGTTTAATTTTTTATTATTTACTTCATAATATTCTATTTATTATTGAGAAATGGGTCGCAGTTGTAAAGAAATTACAAGCAGCATTCGATAATTGATAATTTTTCACCATAGTAGTGGTAAATCAATTCAAAATATCGCTAAATTTGTTAATTTATCCAATTCTACAGTGCAGTAAAACGCTTTAAAGAAGAAGATCAGAACGAAAACAAGGTAAGAAAAAATCGACCAATAAAGTTAACTAAACATGATAAGAGATTTATTATTAGAAAATTTGTGAAAAACCCACGTTTAAGTGCTGTAAAAGTTGTACGAAATTCCCTGTTCCAGATTTTGACTAAAACACTTAAATTCCCTGACTTTTCCCTGAATTTTTTGGTCAATTTCCGAATTCCGACTTTTTCCGGTTTTCCAGGTAGCGTGGCAACCCTGAAGAAATTAATAATAAAAAAATGATAAACATTCTATCTCACAAAAGTCTTCGCGCACTGAAATATTTTTGGATAAAATCAAAATTAGAATTACGGTTTGCCGCTTTTTTTAATTTTTGCATTGTGGTGGCATTTAATAAATCGTTTGCTTTAATCTTTTATTGTTTACTTCATAATATTCTATTACTGAAAAATGGGTCGCAGTTGTAAAGAAATTAAATGTAAAGAAAAATCGGATTGAAAACAAGGTAAGAAAAGGTCGACCGAGAAAGTTAACTAAATGTGATGAGAGATTTATTATTAGAAAATTTGTGAAAAACTCACGTTTAAGTGCTGTAAAAGTTTCTGCAGAATTTAATGCAAAGTTTTCTACTTCAATTTCACCTGAAACTGTTCGACGAGTTCTCAGAGAAGCTGGATTACATGGGTGTTCTGCCCATAAATTTTTTTTTTTGTTAGCGAGAAAAACAGAAAGCTTAGGCTTTCATTCGCAAAATCAATGATAAATACACCCAAAACGTACTTGAATACTGTCCTATTTGCTGATGAAAGCAAATTTAACATTTTTGGTTCCGATGGTCGAATAGCTGCATAGAGAAGAAAAATGAGGAACTTCATTTTAAGAACTTAGTTGGAACAGTTAAGCATGGCGGTGGAGGTGTTCTTGTGTGAGGGTGCATGGCAGCAAGGAATCATTCTCTTTATTTAAATATTTTAAGAGACAATTTAAAATTATCAGCCCAAAATTTGGATATTGGAAACAACTTTATTTTTAATCATGATAATGATCCTAAAGCATATGGCTCTCAATGTTCGCCTGTGGTGTCTCTATAATTGTCCACAGGGTTTTGAAAACACCACGTCTCAGTTCGCCAGATTTAAACCCCATAAGAACACATTTGGAAAGAAGCTGGAAGGATTAGAATATACGAAAAACACGACACCAAAACGAAAAACGAATTTCTAAACAGTCATGGATGTAAAGAATGGATGAACATTGATACAGAAATTACAAAACAAAAATTATAAAATCTATTCCCAAACGTTTAAAAGCTATTTCCAGACTTTGCTAAAAGGATGTCGGGGACTGCTAAAGCATATCCTGCTAACTATTAATTTAACGAAAAATGAAAATATTTACCAATATGTCAAGATTTTTTTGAAGTGTACAAAGACTTTTGTGAGATAAAATTTTTGTCATTTTTTTTATTATTAATTTCTTAAAAATAAAGTTTCGCTTATTTTAAAAATATTTCATGTAATTTTGTTACGAATAGATTATAGATTCTTATTATTAAAATTTCATTCAGAAAGTTTACTTTTAATTAATGGATAGAGCCCTATTTTCAATGAAAATCATAAGTGTACGAACACTTTTGGAAGCCACTGTATATAATACTTGTTAGTTGTAGTTAATGTATTGCTTATTAGTTAAAGTGGATGGTCTACCGGCATATGATTGATTAATCGAGCTCTATTACCATACGTTTCAATGGAATGCATTCTCTGCTTTCCTTAACCCTTTCTGGCATGCTACCCTTTTGGTTGCATGTTGGAGTTTTTGATTTAAAAAAAAAAAAGGGGGGGTAGGCAGTCTAATTAGGCCTAGAGGAATACACAAGTAAAATTTTGTGACGATAGCACTTATCATTTTAATTCTGTGGGTGTGCCCAAAGTGACACACTGATTGAATAGAGCTTCGAAAAGAGTGCTGACACAAGCACTGTTGTCAATGAACTAACCGATGATATGCGGAGAAACAAAGAATACAGACTCTCCTAGATTATCGGTGAGCCCGGGCACACCTAGAATTCGCCGTTTGATTTTAGGCAAGATTTCAAGGTAAAAATTTAGAACTAATACAGAATAAGGAGATTAGCATACAGCCAAAAAAAGTAAAATAGAAATTTCTTTTCAAACAATTCCTTTTACAACCCTAAAAAAAAATCTGGAAGATTTCTTTTAAAAATAAGGGTCTTAAAAACTAAACATGGCTAAAATATATGGACTGGTTTTGTGCCGAGCTGCCATCTACTATAAATAAAGAAGGTCCAGAGTAACCTATAATTCCTTCTTTATTCAATTTTTCTGTGCGTACAGAAGGAAATTTTTAGGTGCGTCCAGACTGGACACACTGTGCCGCAAAGGGTTAAAAATGTCTCACCAAAACTTCTTGCTTTTTATAAAGGAATTATCCTTAAAACCTTCTTCCATTTTTGTGACAGGAAGTCCAAAAATGTAAAAACAAACATTTTTACATTTTTGGAACATGTAAATATCTATTAAAACAAAATTTAATAGATATTTCTTGTTCAACTACAAGCCCAATTTTAGAAAATAATGAAAGCCAAAATTCATCATCTGAATTCTGATTTACTCATATTCATTTATCTTATGCAAAAATGAACCATCTGCATATCATAAAATAAAACGAAATATAGATTGCAGCTAAATGTTGAGAAATTTTTGCTAACACCTTCCGGTATGTTCCAGTACATTTTTTAAATCAACCATTCCTGATACTTTTTGATCACAATAATGTAACATAAGATATCTGCAACACAAATTAAGTAACTAGATTTCATTGAACTAATAAAGAATGCTTTTGAAATTACTATACAAACTTTATAATGATAGGTTTTTGTAATACGTTTTTGGCTTAATTTTCCTTTGCATTTATGTATAGGAAAATGGAAAGATTTTTTGTATTTAAAAATATCTTTCACTTACAGCACTTGAAAAAATTAAGTACAATAAAAGCTCAACCATTCAACAATTAACTAACTGCATAACTCGAATAACTGGAATATTTTAGAATTTTAGGGGGAGAATCCACAAAAATTTAAGTTAATAAGATATTCATAACGCCATTATAGAGTTCATTATATTATTAACACACATACATGGTGGGATTTAGTGCCGAAAATGGTAAGCATGATGTCATGAAACAGTAAGAATTTTGCCTTGGTTTTATGTAAACCCAATCAATTCCTGATGAGGCAGTTTCATTTTAAAAATGAAGGATATCAGTTTCATATTTTCATTGCATTGTGAAAAATGATTAGTATTTTGGGCCCCTTACACGAGGCAGTATGCATAGGAATTTTTAAGTTACAGAATTCTGGCATCAAAAAAGGCCCAATGTGAGACTTTATTCAAAGGTAGATAAACACAAAGGCAATGCAACATGAAAACCTACAATAAGCGATTTAAGTTTTTATACGTTATATACATTATTTGTATCTATCTAAAAAAGAAAAATCATTAAACTTCTGCCAGAATGACTAGCACGAATTTGGCGACATCTCTAGCCAACTTGCATGTTCAGCAGGATTTCGTAATCAGATGAGATGTTTTACTTTCATGTTCAAGGCCTACAAAATATGTTGGCTTTTATGTCTGAAATGCATCCCCCCTTGAATCTTACATATTATTTTAAATGTGGGCTTTTGATATTCAGGTTAGCAAATATGATGACCTTTTTAACAATTTTAGATCAGAAATTTCTTTCTTTCATTTGACTTTTCTACCCAGAATTTAAATTTTTATATGCTCAACTATCCAGAACTTCCAAGTACTAGAATTTGACATTTCTTGAGTTTTTCGGATAGTCAAGCTTTAACCATATAATAAATCATATTCTAAAATTTCCTGATACATTATTTTTTGCACTTATTAATAAGACTTCATTCATAAACCAATGTACCTTATCCTATCTCAGTAATTTTTAACAGACTTCAAAATCGAAGACATGTTACACAAGTTGAACAATGTTACTACAGATGGTCAACTTTTCTAAGATGACCACATCTACAGAACAGAACACCAAAACTGTCTGGAATTGTAAATAATTATCTTAGAGAAAATGCACAGTTTTTGTTTGAAATAAATTAAAACATACCTTGTCAAAGCATATCAATTTTAGTTTTCCTCCAACATTGATTCTGGGGGGACTAATGCAAAAAATTCCTTGCTTTTTTAGTCTGTTTTGAGCATACACAGTTCCTATAGTCATGGCTGCAGGTAAGGCTGGAGGAACAACAATTGTTATGATGTCTAAAGCTCGAATAAGCATTTCAGACCACGAGGACTATATTAAAAAATAAGCAGAAAACTAATAAATTTTATGTCATAAAAATGAATATGATAAATAAAATCACTATTTAATGCTAAAATTACTATTTAATATTAATAACAAGTAAGAGAATTCTAATTTCATAAGAAATTTTGCACATAAAACTGCAGATTCCTGCATCAAACTTTTTTTTTTTTAATTTTAAAAAATTTTATTATCTGTAGTTGTCTCATAGACAGCTACAGATAAATAAAATTTTATATATGTATGTGTGTTTATTGAATAAATAAACACACATACATATATAAAAATGGAATTTTTTTTGTTACCCCTTACCCCCCCCACAAAATTATTATTAATTCACATAATGAATATAGCCTGAAATGTATATGCACTAGCATATCAATGTAAAAATCCAGGAAATGTTGATGAAGCATTACAATGCAGATAGATGGTTAAGTCCTGTCATTGATTAAGTACCCAAAAGCTATTTGCATAAAGAGATGGATACTTCCATGGAGAATATTGTCAAATTAGATTTTTTTTTCATATTTACATTACTCACACGGAAAACCACAAATGCACATATACTATCAAGCCATTTTACAGAATTTTAGCCCATGTTGAGCTACTAGTGTTTAGTGGTTTTATCCATTTGGTCACAGATGTGCAACAAATAATAAAACGTCATGAGGTTAATTTAGGTTATAGAAGAAGACTAAGAGATGGGATGCCTTCATGAAGGACTTTTTAAGAAAACTGGCTTGCATTCATGTTACACGTGTAAAACTATGAAAACTCCAATGCAGCCAACCTGTTTGCCAAGATTTGAAACCAAAAAATGGCACAAGATAATAAAAGACAGCAGGTCACATGTACCCACAGCAGCATACACAATTATGAGTAGCAGCATATCAGACTAATCTAAACAAACAGAAATTATAAAATTGGTCTGTTTAAAATATTTTATTTTCTCAGGTTACATGTCACTCCTCAAAATAATACTTTCCTTAGCTCCCTCCGGTGTCTACCAGAGGGACACAAAATAGATGTGTATATTTACAACTGGACAATAGTCGATGCATCTCTTTATGCTTCAGTCTAATGTGTGTATGTGATTATGGCAAAGCCTCGAGGGCTATCTGCCTAAAGGGAGGGATGCCTTCGTGGAGGACTTTTTAAGGAAAACTGGCTCGGATGCACGTTACAAAGGGGAAAACCATGAAAACGCCTATGCAGCCAGCCCAATCGCGGGATTCGAACCTCGGACCGAACTACGAGTGTTCAGCGACTTTACTGCTCAGTCACTGGTTGGCCCTATGCTTGAGCATAACAACAGAAGAATAATTTTTATTTCTAGCATCCCTTTAAACAATAAATCTTAAAGAACATTAAATAGATTTCATCTTATCTCTTGGATATTACGTCAAAATAACGTTATGAAGAACACTGATACATAAATATTTTTAAAAAAATCTCAGAAAATTGTAGAATATATTTAAAACAAAAGAGTGCAAATTTTCCCCCCATTTTCGTTTATAAAATAATAAAGGTTAGTTTTATAATATGTGAAAAATCTAATGATGTTATAAAGTTAATTCTTTCTGATAAGGAAATACCATAAAATGAGATATGTAGGCTACAAACATAAAAAAATTCAGTGTTACACTTGGTTAAATGTATTTTTGGCATACAAAAATTGAAGAGGAAAAAGAAAAAGGGGGGGACAGAAAAAAGGGAAGAAGGAGATTTCACACAAGATCATAAAACTAGGCCAATTTTTATGAAAATTATGAACAATGCATAAAATTTGGCAAGTATAGAATTTTTTAAATAACTTATATTCACTTTCAATTTAAAGAGCTGGAGAATTTTTCATTAGAAGCAAACTAGGTTTCTTAAAAAAAAAAAAAAAAAAAAAAAAAAAAAAAAAAAAAACTATGATATTCAGACTTCTTTTTCAAATTTGCATAATTCAATTGTTAAGTCTGCATACAAAACTAAAGCTATTAAACACTCAATTAAACGCACCCACTTAAAATTTTACACACTTTCCTTATTATAATAACAAACCTGTGATTTAATTTATTTTTAATGCAAAATTTATTGTAAAGAAATGTACATAGTCAAATTGTTAGGTCAAATTTAATAAAATATGGCCAGGGTGGTATACCTACAAAGAACTTAAGCTATGAATCATAACAGAAAACAAGAAAATTTCATGTACTTCGTGTGTTACATTCATGTACTATGTTATTCATAGTAATTATTAGGTTCATTGATAGTTATTTGATACAGTATAAATACTTACACCCCTGATTATATAACAATACATAGAATAGCCCATTCCTGCCACAGATATGAAAGCAAGCAATCCAACAAATTTTATAGCATCTTTGTAAAACTTGAATCCCATAGGCTTGGGAAAGAGGATAGAACGCACCAGTTCTCCTTTGGCAGTAGAAAAGCCTACACAGAAGTGATAATATACATTAGTCACATATTTAGAATTATAAAAGTAGTAAAAGAAAGTTTCCCACAAATAAATATAGGACAACTTTCCCCAAATAATAACCAGTTGATGAATGATAAAGGCTCATCATCAATTTTTTTTTTTTTTTAAATTTACTTTAATTATACATTTAAAGCTTTTACCAACTACAAACACGATTATAAGAAACTAAACTATGTATATATATGCTTTTAATTAAGGCACATTTCTCGAGGGAGGTACCTAAGAAAAGGGATGCTTTCATGGAAGACTTTCTAATGGAACTTGCTTGTATACACATTTACACGTGGGAAAAACCAGGAAAACACTCATGCAGTCATCCTGTTAACTGGGATTCGAATCACAGACCGAACTGCCAAACAGCACAATTACACTTGCATTAAGGCAGTTGTACTTCAAATTATTCAGCATGCAATGCTCTTCCCTCTCAAATAATTAACAATGCACACAGTATGAAATAAAATAAGCATTTTGTCAGACACAGAATAAAAGGTTCCAACATATATAAATCAATGAATGTGGAATTACAGATGTTACAATGAGAAGAGTAAATATTTTTTTGAAAATTTGCTTTTAAAGCATGATCACTAAAATACTTGACATTATTTGGCAAATATGAGTGTAACATTTTCACCTAGATGGCTTTGTTAATCACCAAAATTGCCGTGTTTGGTATTTGGAGAACCCACGTGTGATCAGTGAAAAACAAATGCACCCACAACGTGTCACTGTTTGGTACGGATTTTGGGCAGAAGGCATCATCGGACCACACTTTTTTGAGAATGAGGCTGGTCAAGCAGCAACTGTTACTGATGCTCGATACCGCGACTTGATAACACAGTTCTTTCTGCCGAAATTGGATGCATTGATGTGGCCAATATAGGGTTTCAAGATGACGGTGCCACATGCCATACAGACAATGAAACAATTCAATTACTGCATGAGACTTTTCCTAATCGTGTAATCTCTCGGTGATCAGAATTGATCACCAATATAACCCCTTAGATTATGTGATTTAATACCATTAGATTTCTTCTTATGGGGTTATTTGAAGTCAAAGTTCTATGTCAACAATCCCACAACCACATGTGCATTACAAGAGGAAATTAAGCGGTGTATCAACAAAATTCAGCCACAATTATTATGCAGAAAGGTCATGAAAAATTTCGACGAAAGGGTGCGTATGTGCCAGCAAAGCCGTGGAGGCCATTTGCACAATGTGTTATTCCATAAATAACCCTATCCTATAAAAATTAATATCTAAAGACTAAAAACTCTCTTTTATATTGAATTCAGATCTTGCGTTAATTTTGGGACACTTTTTACGCGAGAGAGTTAGCCATCTGTCAATGTTAAGTTAAAGGTGTAATGCTTCCATCAAGAATCGAACTTGTGCATAGGTTCTTGGCTGCATTCTGTCAAGACTAGATCAAAAGTACATGATTGGCCTAAAGCAGTGAGTAGCTCGTGGGACATTTTTGGTAGTCATGTTAACGCTCAAGTTGACTAAGCTTGATTCCTCAACTTAGATGACACTGATGACAACAACTGCTTGTTTCTCCAGTGCAACTACCATTGTCTTCACATAGTTGATTGTATATGGGTGATGTTGTGCATATCATGTTTTTCATGTGTATATTAAGCATTTGCTAACATGGATAGTTTAATTTCCGCATTGGTACTAAGCTAGGTCTGTTCTAATGATGGCAAATTCAAGCAAAAAGAAAAAAGGGGAAAAAATTGATTACTTTATTAACAGGTAAATGGACAAATGTGTGTATTTACTATGCCATGCAAGTGTATCAGGTGGGAAGAAAGGGAACACAGGGTTCGTACACATTTCTGCACATGGAAATTAAGTAAAGGACTTTTAAGGACAATTACTGAAAAAATTAAGGACCTATAAGCAAATAGCAAATTAATAAATTCACTTAAAATATTATCTGTGCCTGAACTTCACTTTTGTAATACCACACAAAAAACAATATAGATCCGTAAGTGGGATGCATTATTATTAAACATAACTTAATTAACATAATTATTAATTAGTTTGAGCATAAAATATACTTTATGAAATTTATCAAACAGCATTAAATATTTTAGACTTACAATAGTTCAGTATATTTGAAAGAACATAAGTAACATTTTATTTACATTTTACTAATAGTTAGTTTCATGTTGATTATGTCTCATTACTTGCTCAATCTAGAGGTTTAGTAAATAGCAGGTAGATTTTATGTCAAGCGTCATTGTTCAAAGTGAGAAGTAAAATCATAATCAGAATAATTTATAACAAAAGACTGGCTGTTGTCACCACTGCTCCTTACGTAGAGAGAGACCTGCTGATCAGAACAAAAGAGAGGCCTGATGTGGACACGGTTAGCTAGTTTTGAAAGTTAGTTGGGCTCTGTCTGTTGCAGTTAGTGTCGTAGCTCCGTGTAGAGTTCCAGAGGTTGTAACCAAGTTAATATACTTTAAGGTTCCAATAAGCCACTAAAGCACCATAAGTGACACTAAGTTGCTTTGTATATTTAGGTCTCACTAGATACTAAAAAAGTTTTACAAGAATTTTTACATTTTGTGGTTTAAACCTTGTGCCACGCTAAGGAAATGAAAGGCAATCACTCACTTCATTATGCAGAGGTAATTTTTAAGAGTAAGCAGTTAGTTATAAATTAAATTAGGTAGTTAGAAAACCTTAGTCAGTATGGATTTACATAATTACTATTAAATTTTACTTATTTTTAACAGTATTGTTAAAAGTCCCTATTGAAATCACAATCCAATAAAATTTCACACTTTAAAATACATGCAATTTATGTCATTGATTCTTAAACAATATTAGGATAATTATACATTAAAAGCTACAAAACATTTGTTTTGTAGCTTTGAATGCTTTTTGTAGCTACAAGCAACAACACTCAACAAAATATTTATGCATCTTTTTAATTTGAAACCTTTCCAGACATTTTGGCTTAATTTATATCAATTTTCTTCTCTTTAAACATCTTTCCTAACAATTAAAAATCTGTTTGAATACACAAACCAATGTTCTGACTAGTTTCTGCGTACTTTATCTCCTAAGTTGTCAACCTCTCCACAATGTACCTATGAGGGTTTAATTGATCTGGTAAAAGTTAAATAGTCCAAAAACTCCTGACAGACGTGAAGCAAGTTATCGCTATGTCTCAAAGTCAGACAAATGTTTAAATAAGCCTCTTATTTAAAAAGAACTTAAAAGGCATGTTCTTATGCTAACCAATTCAAATGCAATTTATGGTGATGTAATTAAACAAGAACAATCAAATTCAACCAAAAAAATGTGGACTAGTGGTCAAAGACTATACAATTTAATTTTAATTTAAGCTGGCTCAGTAACTCTATCATCATAACAAATTCAAATGTCAGCAGCGATAATGCAAAGACAAAAAGTTGCAAATTATCAGAGCTGGCAGGAACTAATGCAACGAGCAAGCGGAGATTAAAAACACATTCTGTCTTACACGCCGAAAGCCTCAGTTTAAAAACTGCCTCAGCAATTTGCATTCTGGGGAGGAAGTAGAAACGGGAAATTATAGTAAAGGCTGAAATTATAAACAACTGGATAATTTACATAATAATACCTGTATATATATATTTGAAGAATAATTTTCTTTCTTTGTATGTACTCAGTTTTTTCTTCAACATGCTTCCTTTTCATTTTAGAATTTTTAGATTTAATTAAAAGATTTCTGTTATTCAAAAAAAAAAAATAATAATAATAATAATAATAATTAAATGCATTTAGAATGCATAGAAAAAGCTGCTAATTTAATTTCTTTAGTAATACGAACATTCAGGAGAAATAGGAAATACTATATGTGGTAAGGGCCGGTTACAGAGCTAATGTGGCAGAATTTTTAGAATTTAGTGACACAACGAGCAACAAAATGTAGAAATAGCAAAACTTTTAGAATTTAGAGCAGGCACTGGAAGCAGAATTAGAAAAGGCTAGTCAGCAAATTTAGGATCTACAGAGATAAGTTTAATCCTCCACGTGATTGCACCAGGTGGGAAATGCCTAGCATCAGACTGTGTAATGCATTAAGTCATATTAGATGAATCTTTAAATTGCCAGTTTTCATTTCTTATTAAAAAGAATTCTTTTCTATAATGCCTGTCCATGTCATAAGATAGAAGCATTTTTAATATTTCATACTTGTGTCTAGTGAAAGTAGAGAAAATAAAGGGAAGAAAGCTGTTAAGAAAGAGATTCTAGTATCAGAATAAGCATTCAATATTATGCTTTCATGTCTTCCAGATGTCTCAAAAGTAAGAAATTCATTGCAAACTTTTTACAAAATACATCCATTACGTGTAATACCAGAGACATTTTTCATTTTGTCACAATTTTCTAAATCTTCTGGAATGGGGGTCTATAAAAACTTGCTTTCAAATCCTTCTAAACTTTCCAAGTTGCAATGCCTATGTCCGGAAGAAAAGTTATGCCTACAATTTTGTAACAGCAAACAGCAGAATATTTTAAAAAAAATCAGATGGAAAAATGTGAAATAATTTATAGAGAAACTTATGCATATTCTGAGAATTTGAACTGAGAAAATAACATGAAAAACTCTTATCATGAAAAAATTAAAAAGAAAATATTTTAATTAAATGTTATTTTTTAAATATATTACCATTATTTTAATGATATTATTGATGTTAGAATGTTAAAAAAATCGTCGAAAATTCCCGAATCATGGAAACTACAATTTTTATAGAAAACTGATCTTAAAATCGCAAAATGTTGATAATCGCCAAATTTAGAGCCGTTCATAAAAGATTCACATCCCCAAAAGCGAAAAGTTGTTTAAGAGCTCTTCAGTAGAAAAAGTGAAATAATTTCGAAATAATTGTTTCACTTCTTGCTCAGAACTCGAGTATCCCACCTTTATATTAAAATAGGAAATCATAACCC